CATAGTGTTGTAGGGTATTCAACGGTCGGCCCCGCTCGACTGTAGCCTTTGCTTACTTGTTTTTATATAATTTTAGGACAAGCTGAATGATTATACATGATGTTGAGACAACAATGATAACCTATATACGATTTTAGGACAGAGTAAATTTTTATACCATTTTGGGACACATAGGATCTGTATTACAATAATATGGGACAATGTGGATAACTTCTATAACATTTTGGGACAAACTAGAAATTTTTTCCATGCTGTCCCAAAGTGGATAGCTTTGACATGATTATGGATCAACCCAAATAAAATAAATATAATTTGGGACATGATTTTGAACATTGCGCAACATTGGGATAACGATTTTGGGACAATTTTGGAATAGCCTGGATATCTTAAACATAATTTTGTGACAACGTGAGTGCCTTAAACACAAATTTGGTACAACTTGAATTTCTAATATATAAAATTTTGGGACAATATAAATGTCTTATACACGATTTTGGGACAACGTGAATTTTCTTATACACAATTTTGGGACAGCGCGTATGTCTTGTACATAATTTTGTGACAAACGTGAATTCTCATACACAGTTTTGGTAAAACTTGAATGTCTTATACACAAATTTTGTGACAACGCAAATGTCTTACACACAATATTGTGACAACGTGATTTTCTTATACACAACTTTGTGACAAGGTGAATGTATTCTATAAAATTTTGTGACAACGTGAATATTTTCTAAATAATCTTAGGACAACCTGAATGTCTTTTGCATAATTGTGTGGTATTGTGAAGGTCTTATACACAATTTTGGATTTTGTACCAAATTTTGAGACATCGTGAATATATTATACACAATTTTGGGATACCGTGAATGTCTTATATACAATTTTAAGACAACATGAATGATTTATATACAATTTTGGGACAATGTAATTTTCTTATACACAATTTTAGGACAATGTAGAGGTCTTATATTCAAATTTGGAACAACGTGAATGTCTTATAAACAATTTTTAGACATCGTGGATATTTTATACGGATTTTTGTTATGACAGAATTCATTTATATACGATTTTGGGACAACTAGGGTGATCTTATATTTGATTTTAGAACAACTCGATGGGCACTTTTAACATAAATTTGAGACACCTCTTTGGAACATTGCGGATTTTTAAGACAAGATTTTGTGACAAGGTAATATGAAAAAATTGAAAAAATATGAGAAAATTTTACAAAATCAATATTTTCATCTTTAGAGAGATATTTTTATGCGGTTTTTTTAGACGATTTTTCTTTCCTGCCAAGAGGCCATTCTGAATTAATGAGAACTGTCGAAATCAGTTCAGCCGTTCTCGACATATAAGAGATCTTTCAAGCATATCTTCTTTGATAGACATATAGATCGCACATATTTTGCTATATATCCGATTGGTTGGATGTTAACATCAATGTAAAGATCAGAAGTAACCTTGTCATGGCTTTGTGATTTCGCCGAGATTTAAAATATTTGCGGTTTAATGAACAATTTTGAATTTTTCAACACAAAAGATATGGTCTTTTTTTCCCGCTAAATATTATCCGATGACCACCCAAATTGGTAGGCTTCTTCCCTCCCCTAAACTCTAGCTACATGCGAAATTCCGCGTCGATTGGTCTATAATTGTGACATGTATAGCTACTGCAAAATCCGACATTTTTTCAGTATTTGGTCCATTTCAACCCCTAAACATGTGGCGATCATCTCCAAAAGAAATAGGGTTCTATTCTGATATTAACCCCACCTCCATTCTAAATTTCGTGAAGATCGGACCATAATTGCGACCTGTAGAGTGATTACAAATTAACATGGACAGACGGACAGACGGACAGACGGACGGACGGACATACATAGCTAGATCGACTCAGCTCGGCGAGCTAGGAAGATATATATATACTTTCCTATGTGGGAAACCAATATTTCGCGGTGTTACATAAATTGTGGCCCAATCAAACTTATAATACCCCCAACACATAGTGTTGTAGGGTATAAAAATACCTGCTTTGTCCCAAAATATTAAAAATGATCCACGTTTTCCCAAAATTATAAAAAAACCCCCCTTTCTGTAAAACTATGAACAAATGGTCCATGTTATCTCAAAGTTAAAAATGATTGATCCACCTTGTCCCAAAATTAAAAAAAGTTATTTACTTTGTCCCAAAATAAGAAAAAATATTCTTGTTGTCCCAAAATATAAAAACAATTATGCATTTTGTCGCAAAATTATACAGAAATGATCCACGTTGTCTCAAAATACGCACGTTGTCCCAAAATTATAAAAAAATAAGAGAAAACAAACACTTAAAAATATTCAAATTGTCCCAAAAATTATGAACCTATGGTCGACGTTGTCTCAAATTAGAAATGCTTCATCTAACTTGTGCCAAAATTATAAAAAACTTACCCACGTTGTCTCAAAAATATAAAAAATATCCACTTTGTCCCAAAATTAAAAATATCGATATTCCCAAAATATCCCATCCCAAAATATAAAGAAAATGTCCACGTTGTCTAAAAATTATATAAATATAAATTAGAAAAATATCCATGTTGTCCCAAAATATAAAAAACTTATCCACCTTGTCCCAAAACTATACACAACTGATCCACGTTGTCTCAAATTATCCACGTCGTCCCAATATTATAAGAAAAATTAACCAAAATGTCCCAAAATTATAAAAAAAACTTACCCACTTTGTCCCAAAATTAAAAATGCTTGATCCATCTTGTCCCAAAATTATAACAAAGTAACCCACGTTGTTCCAAAAATTTACCAAAATTATTAGTATTGTCCCAAAATTATAAAATATGACCCACTTTGTCCCAAAATTAAAAAGCAGTGATCCCAAACTAATAAAAAATATCCATGTTGTCCCAAAATGTGAAAAAATTATTCATGTTGTCCCAAAATTATACACAAATGAGCCACGTTTTCCCAAAATTATAAAAAAAAATAAATCGGTTAATGTTGCTCCAGAAATTATATATTTTTATAAACTATCTGCCTTGTCCCAAAAGTTGTCCCAAAATTAAAAAAAGTATCCCAGTTGCTCCCAATTTGATTTCTCGTCCCAAAACTATGAAAGAAAAGGTTATTCACGTTTTGCCAATTTTTTTTCAAAATATTATCCAACCTCTCCTAATACAGGATGAGATAAAAAAAAAACTGCAACAAAGGCAGACGCCATAGTTTTTATTTTATTTATTTATTTATTTATTTTATTTTATTTTTTTTTTTTTTTTTTGATTTTATTGAATGAAAGCAAAACATTTTGAAAATAGCATCAAATTTTAGGATATATTCAATTTTTTTCGAATTGGTCAGCTTTGGAACGAAATATGGCCTTCAAACGGCCAATGAAACCATCACACGCTGTCCTAATGTTACTCTGCGGTATTTTGGTCCATTCCCGGAGAAGCGCTTGTTTGAGGTGATCGACATTTTGGTATTTTTTAGTGCCAACCTTGCTTTCCAAAATACTCCAGACTCCAAATATTGCAACGGATTGGTATCCGGAAATTTTTGGTGGCCATTGTGCGCTGGAAATGAAGCGAGGAACCTCATTTCGTAACTATTCTTGGGTGGCGCGAGCTGAGTGCGATGATCCTGCGGCCAAAATGTTTGCGTGCCCATGGCTTTAATACACCTTCCAGAATATTTTCCCGATAATACTAAGCATTTATTCTGATGCCACGGTCGATTTATACGAGCGGAGAGCGACTATCGGCTGTTATGGCGGCCCACACCATCACCATGGCCGGCGCTTGAGTTCTGGTGGCCAACCCCCAACCGAAGGTGCACATTTTCAGCTGACCTCTTTGGCAAGAAAACACGATCATTTCGTTTGTTCACCAACTGCTGGACAACGAATGTTTTCTCATCGGAACGGAGAAAACCAAATTCGACAGTTCACCACTTTCGGCCAAGCGAAGCGACTCCTTAGCTCTTTTGAGTCTATTTTCTTTCTGTTGCGATGTACGTTCTTGCACCTTTTGGAATTTCAATGGTTTTACTCCGAGCTTACCGAATGGAATATTGCCATATGTCCAGCTCACGAGCCATTTTTCGGCCACTGCGACGCGGGTTTCGATCACGTCGCTTCTTTATTTTTCGAACCATTTCTGCTAATGTTGCAGTTTTCTTCCGTTCACTTCCTTGACGTCGGGCTACGCTACCAGTATCGCACGGTAACGAGCGATGACGGTACGAGACACAAAAGATTTATTCACATTTAAATGCTGGAGTGCTCTAACGATAGCCACTTGTGGTTTTCCAGCCAAATATAAAGAAATCACACTATCACGCTTGAATTCCATCGCGAATAACTTCTTTCCTGGATAATTCTCATCAAAATGCTTTTGTACGCTTGTAAACAATATAATGAGCTGTCACTGGAGTAATTTTAACAGCTGTCGGACGAGTGGCTTAGAAATGACAGCCGTCTGAAGTTGGTTGCAGTTTTTTCATCTCACCCTGTATAATTAGATTTATTATTCAAATTGTCCTAAAATTAAACAACGTTCTCCCAAACTTTTCCAATATCCATGCTATCTGTTTGTTTGGAAAATTTCCCTCATGGACTTGGTTTTCGGATCTCTATTCGTGTTTGGAGCACACACCGTTGTGTCCTACATCCATGTAACGTAGTTGACATAAATATGTATTTACGTAGATATTGATGACGTTTTACGATATCTAATTAATGTTACACTATCCGGAATCTTCTTCCTTTATTTTTCACATTCATATCCGCTTAAAATAAATTGTTTAATTAGCATGTTAACATTGTTTACCACCCAATGTTACACTATGCTACAAAGTTTTAAGACGAATTTTTTGTAAGTATTTTCAAAAAAAAAATATATACCTCATCAGGGCTTAGTCGAGGGACCAAGGATTCGGTGAGGTAAAATTATTCTTATCTCCAAACAGAAATTAAAAACAAAATTTAAAAATTTCAATAGAACTGTAGACCAGTGTAGCCACAGCTTATTTAACAGTTCTCCCTTAGAATTTGCCTCATTAGTTAGTCAGAAATTTCAAAACAAACAGAACAAGGATTTAGCTGCCGTTTTAGGATTCCTCATCATCGCCTTGCTACACAAATCTCAGGCCTCCCACTTTCAATTCTTTTTCGAAAATGAAATTATGTTCGACAAGTGTCCCGATGTGCCGGATAATAATGGCATACACGATTTGTGCGATATATCGGAGTACCAAATTGAATTCATTGATGGCAGTATCATTGTCCAGGGCAACGCAACCGTCGTTTGGGATGTCCAGCCGGAAGATCGCATTGAAGTGAGTGAGCAAAACTTGGTTCCAAGATTTTTGGAAAAAAAATATTCCGAATTTCTTTTTTAGTTACGCTGTGAGGTCTTCAAATACCAGCGCGGTGCCTGGCAGCCTACAGTTTTTAGTTTGATCTCCAATGATTTTTGTGCCGATCAATTCGACAAGGATTCCTATTGGCATCAGTTGTGGACGAAACACATTCCCGCCGAAGAGCGGAAATGTCTCAACAACAATGGGGTAAATTTTACGGTCATATCCCAAAAAAATTCCTAATAATTTTTATATATTTTTTTAGTTAACCTATCACATGCCGCTGTTCGACATAAGCCCGGTATTCGATGTCCAAGTTAATATTGAAGGTCGTCACAAGGTTGTGACCACTTTGACGGCATATGAAAATGGTGTGAACAAACGTCCGAATGGCATTTGTTTTCAATTTATTGGAGAGTTTATTAAAATCTAAAGCATGACAGGTGCTAAAATGAGGAAGAACACATAACCAAAGCAGCTCTCAGGTCCTGAGTAATTATTCTAAACGGATATTTTATTTTGTAAGTTGGAAATAAATTGTTCATTTTGTTCCAAAATTTTTTGAAACCTTTTAAAAAGATGGGAAAAGGTTATCCATATTGGCCCAATAAAAAAAAACAGTAAAGAAAGCATTTGTATCTCTTAAATTCGGACTTGTATTGCCCATTTGGTGCACAATTAATTTGAAATCGGATAAAAATATATATGGGAGCTATATCCAAATCGGAACCGATCTCGATAAAATTTGGCAAAGATATTCCTGAGTTGTATTTGATATATTTCCCTGAATATCGTTATTACGGAGAGCATATTACGGCTGTGGGTAACAAATATGACAAATCGGATGAACAGTATATATGGGAGCTATAGCTATATCTGAACCGATCTTCACTAAATTTGACATACTAGCTTTAAGACTCAATTCGTCGTAAGTGCCGAATTTCATCCAATTCAATTCAATATTAGACGTTTGGTGCACAATAAAAGGTAAATCGGACAAAGTTATATATGGGAGCTATATCCAAATCTGAACCGATCTCGATAAAATTTGGCACATGTATTTCTGGGCTGTATTTGATATATTTCCCCAAATATTGTTCTAACAGAGTGCATATTACGGCTGCGAAGGACAAAAATAACAAATCGGATGAACAATATATGTGGGAGCTATTGCTATATCTGAACCGATTTTGATCAAATTTGGCATACCTATTTTCAGGCCTAACTATTCGGGCTGATATTACAAGTTTGGTGCACAATAAAAGGCAAATCGGACGAAGATATATATGGGAGCTATATCTAAATTTTGACCGATTATCTCCTATTTCAATAGGGTTCGTCCTTGGGTCAAACAAATGATTTGTGCAAAATTTCATCTGGATAGGGCAATAATTGCGAACTGTAATTTGTTTACAAAAATACATGGACAGACGGGCGGACAGACGGTCGGACGGACATGCATAAATCGACTCAGAATGTGATTCTATGCAGATCATCAAAAGGAACTATGGGTCTATCTCGTTTCCTTTTGCCTGTTACAAATAAATGCACAAAGACATAATAACCTGACCACATTGTGGTGTCGGGTATAAAGATCCACGAAGAAATTAACGTGTGCTCTTTAACCATTTTAGTCCTTCGAGTAACTAAAGAATGACTGCTGGTTATGTTTCGGAGAATAAAGACAAGTTTTAGCTTCCCCATAAGCCTACAGGGTGAGATGAAAAAACTGCATCCAAATTCAGACTGCTGTCATTTCTAAGCCACTTGTCCGACAGCTGTTAAAATTATTACAGTGACAGCTCATTATATTGTTTACAAGCGTACAAAAGCATTTTGGTGAGAATTTTCCAGAAAAAAAGTTATTCGTGATGGAATTCAAGCGTGATCGGGTGATTTCTTTATATTTGGCAGGAAAACCACAAGTGGCTATCGTTAGAGCACTCCAGCATTTAAATGTGAATAAATCTTTTGTGTCTCGTACAATCCGTCGTTACCGTGATACTGGTAACGTAGCCCGACGTCAAGGAAGTGGACGAGAGAAAACAGCACCATCAGCAGAAATGGTTCGAAAAGTAAAGAAACGACTTGATCGAAACCCGCGTCGCAGTGGCTGAAAAATGGCTCGTGAGCTGAACATATGGCGATATTCCATTCGGCAAATATTGAAAAATGAGCTCGGGTTAAAGCCATTGAAAATCCAAAAAGTGCAAGAACTAACACCGCAACAGAAAGAAAAATTCCGTGGCATCAGAATAAATGCCGAATATTATCGCGAAAATATTTTGGATGGTGTATTAAAGCCTTGGGCAGGCAAACATTTTGGCCGCAGACCTTGGACATTCCAACAGGACTCAGCCGCATCGCACTCAGCACGCGCCACCCAAGAATGGTTACAAAATAAGTTTCTTCGCTTCAATTCCACCACACAATGGCCACCAAAATCTCCGGATTCCAATCCGTTGGACAATTGTATCTGGATTATTTTGGAAAACAAGGTTGGCACTAAAAAATACCAAAGTGTCGAACACCTCAAGCAAGCACTTCGCCGGGAATGGGCCAAAATTCCGCAGAGCTACATTCGAGCAGCGTGTGACGGTTTCATTGGCCGTTTGAAGGTCATAATTCGTGCCAAAGGTGACCAATTCGAACAAATCTAAACTTATTCTTAAATTGGATTGTATTTCCGACATTTTTAGCTTTCATTCAATAAAATTAAAAAAAAAATGTAAAAATTATGGCGTTTGACTATGTTGAAGTTTTTTTTTTATCTCACCCTATATTGGCCGCCAAAATTTTCCGTTAAATTTAAAAAAAACAAAATCTAAAAAAGTCTTTGATAATGTGGGAGATTATGTTAAAGCCTTCACAGCCTTGCTTTAATTCTCTAAATCACGCCATATCCATGTCAAAAATACTCTACTTCCCCTTTTTGACCACATGTTGTGTTTTTAAAAATATTTCAAGCAGACATGTTTACAATTCGTGTTATTAACTTGAATTTTTACACAAAACTACAAAATATTGAAATATTTCAACCATGTTTCATTGTATCGAATTTTAAATATTTTTGTAGAACAAAAAATATTTTGTTTCTGTATATCGAAGCGCAAGTAAATGTGAAATAAGTTTTTTTCTAAAATTTAATTTTTTTTAGTTTAATCAAAAAAAAAAATGAAAAAGGAACATTTAAAATTGTATTTTTCTGTTGCTATTTCGCATTCGTATCGACATTCAGAAAGAGGATTCAAAATGAATTAAAAAAAATGAAATTTTCTAAAAAAAATCTTTAGACTTGTGTAATTTTTGTTCATTTTAAATACTCTATTTTGTCAATTAGCCTCCACATAAAATTTTAAATTTATTCTTCAAAATAAAAATTTATTTTATTTCAATTCTAAACGTTTTGGTTATTAGTTGTATATCCCACACTAAGGCTAGCCTATATTAATACTTTTTTTTCGAAAATGCAGAAATGTTTGATAATTGCCAACAAAGTCGACAAAATAATGACATAAATGTGCTTGGGGAATTTTTGACTTTCTGGATGTTGTATAGGTTGTATGGGTTATGCCACAGTTTTGTGGATTATGCAGCTTGCTCATAGAATACAGGTGAGCAGAAAAATATTCAAATTATTACAAATTTAATTTTTTTTATTTTTTAGATGAGTCTATAATATCATCGGGCAACAAATCCTATGCAATGTGGTCTTCAAGGTATAAAACGGGAATAAAGCACCTAAGTTCGGTCGTGCCGAACTTTTAATACTCTCCACCATTCGCAAGGAACTGGAAAAACTGATTTTTACCATGAACCAATACACGCCACGCGAGTGCTCTGAATTGGTTGAAATTTACAAGAAGTCAATTGTGAAAACTCAACGTGCTTTTAAAACATTAAAAAATGTGAGAAGTGCGCCTTCTAAGAACACCATTAAGCGTTTATACGAAAAAATTTCGACTGGTAAGGCTCTTTCTAATCCGAAGAGGCCATATAAAAGACGACCAAGGCGATCGGCCGAGAATATCGCTGCAGTACGAGCCGGTGTTGAGAGGTCCCCAAGAACATCCAAAAACGCCGTTCTCAGCAGTTGGGCATGGGTCGGTCCACTTTACAACGGATTATTCGTATTGATTTGCATTTGTTCCCGTACAAAAATTCAATTGACGTAAAGAATGTTGCCTGCGGACAAGCCTCGTCGATTGGAATGGGCCCAAAGAGTCATCGAAATGGCCGAAGATGACGAGCAATTTTGGAACATTGAATGGGACCGTAAATGAGCAAAATTGCCGTTTTTACGCCACTGAAAATCCTCAGGAGATTCAAGAAGTGCCTCTTCATGACGAAAAAGACACAGTTTGGTGCGACGTTAGAGCGAAAACGGTCATTGGGCTGTTTTTCTTCCAAAATGAATATGGCCATGCTGTTACCATAAATCAGGAGCGTTATCGCGACATGATGACCAATTTTGTGATGTCAATTATTCGTCGAAAGCGTATGAGGCATCTGGTTTCAACAAGACGGCGCTCCACCGCACACAAGTCGCATAACAATCGATTTTCTGAAGAATTTGTTTCCGGGCCGTTTGATGTCGAAAAGTGGTGATTTGGACTGGCCACCGCGTTCGCCCGATATGACGCCGCCTGACTTCTTCTTGTGGGGTAGAAGAGCTCAAGGACAACATTCGTGAAGAAATAGCCGCTATTCCGGCCGAAATGTTGGCAAAAACGATGGAAAATGGAGCAAAAAGGGCACAATACGTCATCAACGCCAGAGGCGGCCATTTGATAGATATCATTTTCAAAAATTGATGTAAACAAATCTACTTGGAACAAATTAAATGATTAACATTGCCAACCGCCAAATTTTTATTTTTTTCTTTGATTTAAAAAAAAAAAACATGGATTTTTTAAAAAAAATATGGGCAACCCTGTATCATTATCGCTAAATCATCAAAATACCAAATATCGGGGAGTACTGTTATATGGGGGCTAAACAAAGACGTGAACCTGCACAGACAAATTTCTATCTTAGGCTGTAGTATCCATTGCGAACTTCAAGGTTTTATCAACAGAATATCTTAAAAATATTTTGAATCAATTGAAGACCTTATATCTCTATCTTTACTTCAGAAAACCAATAAAATGAGTTTAATCAATTGAAGGCGTGTAGAAGGTCTTCTACAAGTCTTAAATTTTATCTCAAATTTTACCTTTATTAATTTTTACTAATTAATAATTTAGTGGGAATCTCCAACTAAATTATTAATTAGTGACATAAAACATGATATATTTAAATTATGACAAAAAGGATAAATTAATAAATTTTAAAAAATTCACTCCTTACTTCTTTTCAAATGATGTCATGTGTGTCACAGCACAACACTTATGCCAGCTGGCTGGCTGGCAAACGAAAACTTTGACCCATGCCGTGGCAACCTTGACTGATAAATTCTGTTGCAACAGCAGTTGTCAAGCTCATCCAATCAAAACAAAACAACAACAGCAACGACTACATGTTAACTTGGGTTTAGCTAAGCAAAACTATCCAAGCGAGAAATATGCATTTTGCAAAGACTAAAGTTTAAGTGTGCATCTCTAGCTTGTTTTGCTATTTTTGATG